GTTCTGTACTACGTTGCATTACGTCGTGTTGCTGTGCATCGCACTGCGTCACATGGCACTACAACCGCATTGTATTGCTGAGCGTTGGCTTGAAGTGCTGCGCATCGCATTGCATTGTATTGCTTTCCATATCTGTCCTTTGCTTTGCGTTGCTTTCCATTGCACTGCCTTGCAATGCATTGCTGCTCATTGGTTTGCATTGATGTGCGTTGTTTTCCGTTGCAGCACATTGCTTCACATTATGTTGGAATCGCATTGCAGTGTTTTGCATTGCGTTGTTTTGCGTTGCTTCGCAGCTCTTTGCATTAGTTAGCACGACATAGAGTGCACCACATGGACTGCACTACCTAGATTACACCACATTGATTGCCGCACCTAGATTGTACCACATATATTGTAAGAAGTCTTGATTTGCGGTCCACGCTGGTTATCACATATATGTATATAGTGTGTGTATGGATATAGTGTATGTATATATCTATATATATATATATATGTGTGTGTGTGCGTCCGTGTATGTATCGCCCCGACGCCAAGCTCCTTGATACCCCCTGGTTCACTGAGGATATCCCCTCGCTCCATTGCGGTTCGAAACATAAACGCGAAGCATCGCAGTGCATGGCACGTCATGACATGTCATGGCAGAGGTCATCACACCATGGCCCATCGAAGCCTCTCTCCTCAGCACAACGCAGCACTGCACCGCACAGCCTGGCAGTACGCCTTACGACCTGCAACCGGCGCAAAGACTGCCCGTAGTCGGCGTCGCGCTGTGCTCATTCTCCCGGCGGCGCGTGCACTAAAGGGTCATAAGTTGTCTTGGTACGTAACTGGTGGGGGGCTCCGGGTTGTCGCCCTGGTGGCCGCCTGTCGCCGCCTCGGTCGCCGCCCCATGCGGTGGCTCGTTGTCCTGGGCGTTCGCCCAGTGGCCGCTCGTCGCCGCTTCGTCGCCGCTCCGTGCACCTGGTAGAGCCCCACATGCTCTGTCAAAAAGCCGCCAGCTCCTTGACAGTTTCGAGACCTGGCTAGTCAGAAAACATTCCAGAACCATGGATTGCTCCACTGCATCACTGCCAGAGTTCCGCGCGCGCGCGCCCGCACTCCCTGAAATCTTGCGAGAACCATGAGTTGGTTAAGTACTCTGTCACATGAGATAATGCGGGCCGCTGTCGCGTGCATGTCTGACACGTTCGACCACCATCGCGCGCCCACCAACGCGGGCCAGGCGCGCGCCCGCCGCGCGCGCGTCCAAATCGTCCCGAGCCCATTGGTTTTCGAGCTATTTCAGCACAGAGGTATTCAAGCCCAATGGATTTTTCTAAGGCCATGCTGGTTGAATGTCAGCGGGCGCAGATGTTCTCAACATCCTCATCAGCTCAAGCGTTATCATCAGCGCCAGCGTTCTCAAGGCAATGGTATCCATCATCAACATCATTATCATCATCAGCAGCAGCAGCACCATCATCATCAGCATCACCATCATCAGTATAGACGTATACAATATAAGCGGCGTCTGGGGCCCCGCGGCCAGGGGCCGCACACTTTTCCCAAACTCCCCCCCCCCCCCCCCCGTAATCGAATTTGCCCCATGGGCTGCGGGGGCCATTTTTGGCATCCAGGGGCCCATTTTCGAAGTCGCGGAACTTCTTCCGCTTCCCGAGGCGTCCAGCTAGGCTGCTGGAGACGGCAGGAAGCCGCCAAGACGGCCCAAGAGTGCTCCAAGCCGCCCAAGGTGGCCCCATGATCGGCCCAAGAGGCCCCCAAGAGGCCCCAAGGTCGCTCCGCGAGGACCTCCAAGAGAGCCCCAAGACGCCAAAATCATTGATTCTCATGTTGCTTTCCAATACTGTTTGTTTTCTCACGTTTTCGAGCGGCCGACACTCCAAGACTGCCCAAGAAGCCTCCAAACTGGCCCCAAGAGGCCCCCAAGACGGCCCAAGAAGGCCGCATGATCGGCCCAAGAGGCCCCCAAGACGGTCCAAGAGGGCCTGAAGAGGGCCTGAAGACGACTCGAAGATGGGCCCAAGAGAGGGAACGCGAACCAACTTTTCGAGCGTCCCCAGGAGGCCCCAAGAGGCCCGCAAGTGGCTCCAAGAGGCTCCAAAGAGGCCCCAAAGATGCCTAAGAGAGGTCCGACAAGCTCCACAACGCTCCCGTGGAGGCTTCAAACCTGCTTCCAAAAGGCCCCCCAAGAGGCATCCCGCGATATGTTCCCAGCGAACATCCGAGAAGCCTCTAACCCACAACCCAGACACGGTGGCGGGATGGACCCAGAACTGCGACCTCTGGTTCGCATGGGGGGCCGGGGGGACCTTGAGGGCTCCAAGAGGGTTCAGAAGGGGCCCTGGACCCCCCCAGAGGCTCCCAGGCTGGCCCAAGATATTCCCACGAGGCTGCAGAGAGCCCCCCAAATGCCCGAACAGAGGCGCCTTCTGCCCCAAGAGGCCCCCAGGAGGCCCCAAGAGAATCCCAGGAGGCCTCCTCGACGGCCCAAGAAGCCCCCAAAATGGCTCCAGAAAGCCCCGAGAAGCTCCCGAGAAACCCCCACCGAGCTCGCAGGAGGCCTCCTACACAGACCCCCAGAAGCCCGCCAGAAGCCCTTCGTCCTCCATGCTCCGGAAAAAAAAGAGAGAACAAAAAAAAAATGCTCCGGAACAGCCCTTCGGAACACGCGGCCCTGGCTGCACCCCCCGACCCGCCCACCCAATGTCGAGGCCCGAGGACGCCCCCATGACGCTTGCAAGACGCTCCAGAAACACCTCTCCCGCACACGTAGACCGGGTGACAATGATGCTGATCGTCGATGGTCCGTCGTCGTCGTCGTCGGTCGTCGCTGGTACGCTACAGGCCAAACCCTTCCTTGAACTTCGCCGTATCCGCCCGAAAATCACGCATGGGTGAAAGGGAGGAACCCGGAAGACCACATGGAAAAGGTCTCATGGAAATAGACACCGTGTTCGGAGTCGACTCGAACTTAAGCGCGCGCGAAGCGCGCGCGTGGTTCTAGCATCAGTGATAATCATCAGAAACATCATTACCATCGTCGTCATAACCATCCTCATCATCTTCATGATCATCATCAATATCAGCATCAGCATCAGCATCAACAGTATCCTCATCCCCATCCTCATCATTAACAGCATCATCATCAGCAGCAGCATCATCACCATCGTCGGGATCATCACCGCCGTCATCATCGCTGTCATCGTCGATGTCGTCGCCCTCACCAATCCGCGGGCATGTTGTCACCATCCTCCTCACCAGCACCATGGTGATCATCATCGCCAGCGTCATCGCTGCTTCGTCGTTATCACCGCCATCAGTTTCGTCACCATCGCCGTCGTCGACATCGTCACCACCGTCGTCATCAACATCACCAGCGTGATCGTCGTCGCTGTTGCCGACCAGCTGGGTTTGCAACCAAGTTGCGGGTGGGTGGGTGGGATATTTGCACGAGGGGTGGCGTTGACGACATCAACATCAGCAAGGTAAAACGCATCCCAAAGATTGCACCAGATACAGTCTAGAGATTGTGCTTAGCGTGCCAGCCGCCTGTTCTGACCCACCAAGGTTCGGCGCGTCAACACCGCGTCCTGAGCGTTTCCAACCTCCCGTCCCATGAAGCAGACCGACACAATGGCAGCTTGCAAGGCGCAGCGCGTGGCAGGGGCCGCCGCCCTGGCACCTCAAGCAAAAGCTCTGGACCATAGACGGCGCTCGATAGATCGAACCACAGTTGCAGCGCCTAGCTTGCACCACATAGACTACACCACATAGGTTGCACCACACAGGTTGCACCACATAGACTGCAGCTCCTAGACCCGTCAGAATACACCACCTGTATGTTGCAAATAGGCAGTGCAGAGTCTCACCGTTCGGGGTCCAAGCTTGCAAGCATGTTTCGACATTGCATCAGCGTTGAAACCAGGGAGACGTAAGAAGGTCTGGCTGGGAGTGATGACATGTCCGGGCATATTGGAAAGGTGTGTGAGGGCCGGAATGTTTGGGGAGGTATTTGGGTGGGCCAGGTACGCAGGTGGGGGGGTACACATCAGAGGGACAAGAACACGTTGGGAGGAAGGTTTTGCGGCAAACCGATGTGAATAATGGGTCCAAGAGTCGAAGAGAATGATCGAGGACATCGGAGAAGCGCCTTAGCACTTCGACGTAAAAAGGCGCAACGGATTGGCACGATATTGTGCCCACGACGCGCGGCACTCACCGTTCGTCGAGGGAGCACTTCGCCGCCAGGTCGAGCTTATTGGATCCATTGTCGTGGGATCCATATGCCGCGATGCGCACGCAGCAAACGGATGGGATAACGTATTGGGACCAAGAGGAAGCGGTCCAGCAGCAGAAGCAGCCGTGTCAGCAGCGTTGTCGCGAGTGCGCGTTCAATCTGGGCCAGTGGGGCAAAGGGCAGGCGCGAGGATGGGCAGCAATGCACCAGGGCGCGGGCCACGAGAACTCTACGCCTACACCGATCTTGGCCAGACCGATTCTGGGCCCAGGACGGGCCTGGCCAGGATCGTTGCAGGTGTGTACCTGTCGCCCTCCCCAGATCCCCGACGTTGTCAGTTTGCTTGACAACGTCGACCCCCAGAGGTGTAGATCCCTCCCCTGGGACCGTTCTGCCATCCCGAGTCGTTGTTTGACGGTCCCCAGGGCCCGGCGAGGGCTCCCCGAGGCCGAACATTATCAAACATTTCCCGTTGAGGTTTTCCACAGCGAGTGGAGGTGGGTGGGGGCACAGTCAACCCGCATTGTAAGGATGGGCAACTTTCCCCAAGGGTGCCCTTGCATCCTTGCCTCCTCGGTCCATCCTTCGCCACTTCCGTCGGCCGCGCCCCGCTCGAAGAGTTTCGGCATGGGCGTCCCGGGCCCCATGCATCATTGTCGCGCATCCTTAGGATACGGGCCGACAGCATGCGTGTCGTCCTCCTGCGGGGTGGGGAGCAGCGGGCACAGCTCTGGAGCGGAGCGCGCGGCACGGCCCGGGAGGCTACCCCGCGCAGCCGCCGTATGGCCCCGCCCACAGCGGCGCCACCCGACTCCTCTCTCGGCACAGCGGGGGGGCGCCCAGAGTTCCTCCGCGCTCCGCCAGACCCTTCGGCTTTGTTGTTTGTTGTTTCTCTCTCTCTCTCTCTCTCCCTCTCCGTTTCTCTCTTGCTCTGTTTCTCTCTTTCTCTCTCTATATAGATAGATATTTCTCTCTCTCTCTCTCGTCGCCGTTCTACCTACATACATATATATATATGATTACACCTATACACGTACATATATCTATAATTATGTATAGACATACACATATACACATGCATGTTTGTATACATGTATATATATAAGTAGATGTGCTTAGTTATAGGTATGTATCTCTATGTCTCTCTCTCCCGCTTTCGCTCAGTATATCTTTCTCTCGCTCGCTCATTATATATATGTGTATGTATGTATCGTTATCTCTCTCTCTCTCTCGCTCTCTCTCTCTCTCTGTCTCTCTCTCTTTCTCTCTCTCTCTCTCTCTCTCTCTCTCTTTCTCTCTCTCTCTCTCTTGCTCTCAAGATTATTATTTCTCGCTCCCTCTCTCTCTCTCTCTATCCCCCCCCCGACTCTCTCTCTCCCTCTCTCTCGCTCGCTCGCTCTCTCTCTCTCTCTCTCTCTCTCTTTCTCTCTCTCTTTCTATCCATATATATCTCTGTGCCTCCCTCTGCCATTTGTATATATGTGTACAGAGGTGTATCCCAGATGTCCGTGTGTAAATGTATGAGGCTACAAGCATTGGCATGCATACATGCATACACATACATGCATGCATGCATGCATGCATGCATGCATCATCCAGGCATACAGACATGCATGCATGTGTGTGATGTTTCATGTTAACGCTCTCGCCGGTGATTACATGTACACTTTGTAGATTTCGATGTACACGTATGTTAGCATACACATGCGCCTCGTATGTAGAGAGAGATGGTCGTTGGTAATTTAAGATGATTTGGTATTTGTGCATATATAGACCTAGACCCCAAAAAATGTCTAAGAGAGCTTGTATCGTGAGGCTCCGTGGTTTGGTTCGACTGGCCCGCCGCTCCTTTCGAGCTGCATGAACTGACGAAGGCCCTCCCAGACAAGTCGCCGCTACGGCAGGTGGGAAGTTCGCTGGTTTTTTTCTTTGCTACTTGTTTGGTCGTCGGCGTCTCGGATCCGAGTTGCGGGCGAGCTACGCTGGGACACGGACGGAGCGAATTGTGGCACCTGGGTAAAGGGGTGCAAGAGGAAAAGGAGGAGACAACCAGGCGCGGCCAGGGGGCCCTCAGGGCGTGAATTCCTTCGGGATGTGCCAGAGCAGGCTCGTCGCAGAGCTGGAGGTGCTTCCGGTGGAGCACATGGTCCAGGAGAGCGCGGTCCAGGAGAGCGCCGATGGTTGGACGCAGCGCAAGCGCCAGGACAGCGGTTTCCTCGCGGACGGCGGCTCAGTTGTTGCTGTTTGCTGCCGCGAGGGAAGCTTCGGACGTCCAGCTGCAGAAGCGCACTTCTTGAGCATCGGAACACCCCTCCGCCTCCTTTTCCTCTCTCTTCCTCCTCCCTCCTCCTCCTCCTCCTCCTCCTGCTCCTCCTCCACCTCCTCCTCCTCCACCTCCTTCTCCTCCTCGTCCTCCTCGTTATCCTCCTCCTCCTCCTCCTCCTCCTCCTCCTCCTCCTCCTCCCCTCTCTCCTCCTCTCCTCCTCCTGTCCTTCTCCCTCCTCATTGCTTCTCCTCTCCTGCTCTTCTCCTCTCTCGACAGCTCAGCACATCTCCCTCCCACCCCTCTCACCTTCTCCTCCTCATACTCCCTACGTTCATCACCCCACTCTCCTCATCCTCCTATCCTCCTCCTCCTCCACTCGTCCTTCCTTCTCCTTCTCACTCCTCCTTCCTCGCCTCCTCCTTCTCCTCCTCCTCCTATTCCTCTCTCTGCTCCCTCTCTCCTCCTCTCTCCTCTCCTCCTCCTCTAGCCTCCTCCCCTCCTCCCTCCTCTCCTCCTCCTCCTCCTCCTCCTCCTCACTCCTCATCCTCCTCTTGCTTCTCCTCCTCTCATCTCCTTCCTCGCCTCCTCCTCCTCCTCCCCCTCCTACCTCCTCCCTCCTGACCCTCCCCTCCTCCTCCTTACTCCTCAGCCTCCTCCTTTTTTGCTTCCGTCCTCTCATCCCTTTCCTCTCTTCCTCTTCCTCCTCCTCCGTCTAATCCGCCTCTCCTCCCTCTTCCCCCCCCTCTCCTCCTCTTGCCTCCTCTCCTCCTCCTCCTCGACTAATCCTCCTCCCTCCTCCTCCCTCCTCCTACCTCCTCCTCACTCCTACCATCATCCTCCTCCTCCTCATCCTCATCATCATCATCATCATCCTCATCATCATCATCATCATCATCATCATCATCATCATCATCATCATCATCATCCTCATCCTCATCCTCATCCTCATCCTCATCCTCATCCTCATCCTCCTTCTCCTCCTTTTCATCCTCCTTGTCCTCCTTCTCCTCCGCCTCCGTCGCCCCCCGTTGAGCCTGTCCGGTTTGGCGGCCTCTGAGAGCACGGGTTTTCTTTTTGGGCCATGGCTATCAGGTCTTCGAAGTGCACCCCATGCTGCGGTGGTCCAAGATGCAAACCATCGGAGGTTCACGCCAGCAGGGCCAGGATGGCGTTCAAAGCGGGCGGCAAGCTCGCGGCGGCCACTCTTGTTGCCCGCGCGGGTTCGATCGCGGCGACGCTGGCGGCGGTTTGCGCGGCGCTGGCCGGTTCGGACGGGGGCCGCGGGGGCACCTTCGAGGAGGCGTCCTGCTCGGGACAGGGCGATGCGTTCTCGGCCTTCGCGCCCCCACCAGGACCCGAGGGGTCACATGTTCACAGATGCCAGGCCCAAGCGTTCGCAGAGGGCCAGTGCAGAGAGGTCCTCGCCAAGGGCCACAGAGAGGCTTCGGACCTGATCAACCCCCCCAACGAGAGATGCCCCGTTTTGTGATTGGTCTAAGGGGGGTCTGAGAAGCGGGCTTTGGGAGGCCGTGCAAGGAATCCGTGTTTTGGAGCGTTGGTGGGCGGTTATCTTGCGCCACTACGCCTTATGTTTTGCGTCCGTTCACTCCCTTCCCCTCCCCCCTTTCGTTCGTCTTATTTCTTCCCCTCATCCCCTCCTTCCCCTCGCGTCATCGCCTTTCCCGTTCCCCCCGACCCCCACCACAGTCATCATTCCTGTCGAACATCCCTTACGCCTCCTACCCCCTGAACCTGCCCACCCTCGCCCTCCGAGTGGCTCTCCTCTCCTCTCTTTCCCTTTTCTCACAACCCTTGACCAATGTCCCTCCCTTCCCGATAGATGCTCCACCTCGCCCTGCCCACCCTATCCCTTCCAGGACCCTCGAGGGGGCGGCGAGGTCCCGAGGTGATCCGCGTGGGACCCACCTCCGCTGGGCCTCCCAGGAGCCCACGAACGTGGCGACAGTTGCGCAGATCGCAAGCCCCCCAGGGGGCGGCGAGGTCTCGAGGTGATCCGCGTGGGACCCACCCCCGCTGGGCCTCCCAGGGGCCCACGAACGTGGCGACAGTTGCGCAGATCGCAAGCCCCCCAGGGGGCGGCGAGGTCTCGAGGTGATCCGCGTGGGACCCACCCCCGCTGGGCCTCCCAGGAGCCCACGAAAATGGCGACAGTTGCGCAGATCGCAAGCCCCCCAGGGGGCGGCGAGGTCCCGAGGTGATCCGCGTGGGACTCACCTGCGCTGGGCCTCCCAGGAGCCCACGAAAGTGGCGACTCGCAAGCCCCCCAGGGGGCGGTGAGGTCCCGAGGTGATCCGCGTTGGACCCACCCCCGCTGGGCCTCCCAGGAGCCCACGAACGTGGCGACAGTTGCGCAGGTCGCAAGCCCCCCCAGGGGGCGGCGAGGTCTCGAGGTGATCCACCCCCGCTGGGCCTCCCAGGAGCCCACGAAAATGGCGACAGTTGCGCAGATCGCAAGCCCCCCAGGGGGCGGCGAGGTCCCGAGGTGATCCGCGTGGGACCCACCTCCGCTGGGCCTCCCAGGAGCCCACGAAAGTGGCGACTCGCAAGCCCCCCAGGGGGCGGCGAGGTCCAGAGGTGATCCGCGTGGGACCCACCTCCGTTGGGCCTCCCAGGAGCCCACGAAAGTGGCGACAGATGCGCAGATCGCAAGCCCCCCAGGGGGCGGCGAGGCGAGGTGATCCGCGTGGGACCCACCTCCGCTGGGCCTCCCAGGAGCCCACGAAAGTGGCGTTGCGCAGATCGCAAGCCCCCCAGGGGCGCGAGGTCCTGAGGTGAAGTCGAGGCCGCGATTCGAATCCTCCGCTGGGCCTCCCAGGAGCCCACAAAGTGGCGACAGTGCGCAGATCGCAAGGGCGGGCCGGCCGAGGTCCGAGGTGATCCGCGTGGGACCCCACCTCCGCCGGGACTCCCAGGAGCCCAAAGTGTGATCGCAAGCCCCCAGGGGGCGCGAGGTCCTGGTGATCCGCGGGGACCCACCTCGCGGGGCCTCCCAGGAGCCCACGAAAGTGGCGACAGTTGCGCAGATCGCAAGCCCCCCAGGGGGCGGCGAGGTCCCAGAGGTGATCCGCGTGGGACCCACCCCCGCTGGGCCAGGAGCCCACGAAAGTGGCGACAGTTGCGCAGATCGCAAGCCCCCCAGGGGGCGACGAGGTCCCGAGGTGATCCGCGTGGGACCCACCTCCGCTGGGCCTCCCAGGAGCCCACGAAAGTGGCGACAGATGCGCAGATCGCAAGCCCCCAGGGGGCGGCGAGGTCTCGAGGTGATCCGCGTGGGACCCACCTCCGCTGGGCCTCCCAGGAGCCCTCGAAAATGGCGACAGTTGCGCAGATCTCAAGCCCCCCAGGGGGCGGCGAGGTCCCGAGGTGATCCGCGTGGGACCCACCTCCGCTGGGCCTCCCAGGAGCCCACGAAAATGATTACAATTGCGCAAATCGCAAGCTCCCCAGGGGCGGCGAGGTCCCGAGGTGATCCGCGTAGGACCTACCTCCGCTGGGCCTCCCAGGAACCCACGAAAGTGGCGACAGTTGCGCAGATCGCAAGCCCTCCAGGGGGCGGCGAGGTCCTGAGGTGATCCGCGTGGGACCCACCTCCGCTGGGCCGGAGCCCACGAAAGTGGCGACAGTTGTGCAGATCGCAAGCCCCCAGGGGGAGACGAGGTCCCGAGGTGATCCGCGTGGGACCCACCTCCGCTGGGCCTCCCAGGAGCCCACGAAAGTGGGGACAGTTGCGCAGATCGCAGACGGCACGAGAGAAGAGGAGAGGGGAACACAGGAAACAGGAGAGGAGGAGGGGAGGAGGGGGGAAGGAGAGGAAGGAGGCCGGGGCGACCACATTGCTCTATTCAAAACGAGCATCCAACCATAGGAGGGTTGGGAACAAATCTAACGCATACGCATAGCATGAAAATACCACACCACATCAAACATAACAGCATGGTTTCCTATTGCAACGCAGTAGTGCACCACAAACTACAAATAAAACATCATGGTGTGACGAATTGCGACATGATGTGCAGCGTGCAACGAATTACCAGCCCGTTCAGAAACGATCGCCGGGCGGGTTTCCTTGACCATGGAAGTGTAGAAGCATGCAGTGGAACAACCGCCTTGGAAGCGTTTCGGGAGCGCTGAAACGGCAGGAACACGTGTTGAATGAACTTACACATGCTCCCATGCCGCACACGTTTGGGGTCTTCTGGGGGCCCTCTTGGAGTTGTGTTGGGTCCCTCTCGGGGCGGGGAGGCGATGTTTGGCAACAGGAGGAGAAAGGAGGAAAAGAAAACGGGAGGAGGAAAAGAAAACAGGAGGAGGAGGAGAGGAAGAAGCAGACGAATCAGTAGATGGATGGGGGTGGGTGGAAGAAGGAGAGGACGATGAAGGCGGCGACGACCACGACGAATCAGCCATGAATCCTTTGCGGAGCTTTCGATCTGCGAGCTTCTTGGAAGAGGCACCTCGCAGCCATTTCGGAGTCATGTTGAAAGCCGTGTTGGGCCTACTGGGGCGTTCATGGAGCCCCCTTGGGACTCTTTGGGGGTGGGGGGGGGAGGCCTCTTGGGGCCATTGTGGGCCCCATGGCTCAAAGAGGGGGGGAATCAGTTCAGGTTCCCACTTTGGGGGCTGAAAAGTTGCGTTTGGGGGCCGTCGTGGCGCTCTTGGGCGCCTTCTTGGACGCTCTTGGGGCTGCCTTAGGGCCGTCTTGGGCACCCTTTGGGACTCTCTTGGGCCATCTTGGGATCATTTTGAGGCCTCGCGGAAAAGGCGAGAAGGCACAACACATTGATTTTCCTTTCGGTGTTTGAATGACTTGGGCATCTTGGGACGGTTTTGAGTGGCTCCGAGAGCACATGGTACCCTCTTGGAGCGGCCTTGGAGCCTTCTGGAGGTATGCCGGAGGCTATCCTAAGACATCTCGAGGTATATTGGGCCATCTTGGAGGGTCAACCTTGTGTTCTCTGAGGCCCTCTTGGAGCTATCTTTGGTCATCGGACGCTCTGACCGAGCCCAGAGGAGGGGGGAGGGGAAGGGGTCAAGCTAGGTGCGCAAGCGTCTTCCTACCGCTCCCCCCCATCCCTGACCATGGCGTAGATATCATCTTTATTCGCGCAGTCGGATGTCGGATCATGGCATATCAGTACATGGCATAACATGGTGTTGAAGGTCAACGCGAAGCATGGCGTAGCATGGCGTGGCTCTGTGCAGGCAAGCACTGCATATCAGAGCATTGCAGCTGAAAGGATGGCATCGCACAGCGTAACACACCATAGCATTGCATTCCATGGCACGGCACTGGAAATGAGGCAAGTGCTGCAGCGGGAGCACGATTCGGAACGAGTGGAAGCGCGGAAAAGAGGTCAGCGCTGCAGCGGAAGCACGGTTCGGAACGAGCGGAAGCGCAGAAACGAGGTCAGCTCTGCAGCGGGATCACGATTCGGAACGAGCGGAAGCCCGAAAATGAGGCCAGCGTTGCAGCGGGAGCAACATGTTGAGGGATCGAAAGAATCGGATTGTCAACAACACATATGAAAGCCCAATTCCCGGCAATCTTGTGTAAATAACCGTACGCGGAGGGGTGCCGGCCATTTTCCGCACAGAATCAGGGTAGAGAGGAGAGTTGTATTCAGATTGTGCAAGTGTAAGCCCATTCCACGAACAGCAGAAGGAGAGATTTTCGAAAAGGAAGAAAACAATTCGCTAAACCATTTACGCCCAGAAGGCTGATGGGATTATGCGTCCTCGCCCTTGCCGCCCGACACCCCCCCCAGTTTCCTCCCCGATGTCTCGTCCAACTTGCCCAATCCACCCGTTCCCTCCCGGACCCCTCCGCAGATGCGTCCACCTGGCTCCCGCCCCGTCCGCGCACGGTCCGTGCACGGACGCTCCCAACCACGCGTCCTTGCCCTTCCCGCCCGCCCCCCCCCCGCCCCCTGCCAGCTTCCCTGATGAGGTGGCCCGATGCAGTACCGGCCGCCGCCAGCGGGGCCCCTCCTGCGGGGGGGTCCTCTCTCTGCAGGGCGTGCCAGGACGGGAGGAAGGCCCACGCCCACGATCCGATTCGATGGCATTGGATTCGCCAGCTGGGGCCGCGATTCTGCTTCGATTCGCGCTCGTTCTAACTGGTGGCAGGGGCCAGAGCCAGCCAGAGCCCAGCGCGGTGATCCGAGCTCGATTCGATTCGGGACGATCCGTTGGCGATCCGACCCAGTTCCGATCCGATGCGACTTCGCGATTCGATCCAGCTCAGGCCTGACTGGTCCTTCCCCCACCTCCTCTCGCGGGGGAGACATCTCGACATCTCACGACGGGAGGGTTCGGTCCCTTTCCCGCCTCGGGGGGCCCCCGCCAGACCCCTGCGCCCTTAAAGACGACCCGGGTGTAAAACGGGTGCTGGGGTAGGCCTCCAGATCTCAAGGAGCCCATGATGTGTTTTGTTATAGTATTATGTTTCTCTCTAGCATATGTATACATATGCATATATACAAGAACAACAACAACAACAACAACAACAACAACAACAACAACAACAGCAGCAGCAGCAACAACAACAACAACAACAGCAACAATTACTAGCACGTGGGGACACTCCGTTCTCACCAGTGCCAGGGTTTTCATATGAGGCGGGCAATACCCCCACTTTGTGGGGGGGCCGGTTCAAGCTCTACCAAATTTCCAAACGACTCTTCGCCACCACCCACACCCAGCTTCCCGCCCTATGACGTTCGGACACTTCACTTCGTGGCATGCGGACGACCGTGGCTACTATTCAGGGCCCCGCGGCCGACGACGACGGCGTGCGCGCGCGAAGAAAAAACGAATGTGTCCCGCATGGTATTATTTGACAGGGATGATGGCCCTGGCAGGTGCGCAACCGTTGTCGCAGAAGTTCGAAAAAGTTGCTCGCAAAAGCCCGTTTGACAGAAATGTTTAAAAAGTGTTGGGTTTCCTACGAATCCGCAAGAGCGCGCGGGATGAGATTTTGACATTTTTTGTTGAAAAACCATTGGTTTTTTGATGTTTTTATGTTAAAATCGCTCCGAACACTAAGCTTTTGGAAGGATTTCGTCTTGCGCGCGCGAATGTCCACTTTACCTTATTTTTTGCAAGGGATTCTTGAAATTTGATTATATTAGAACAAGAAATGTCATTTTATAGTGTTTTTTGCAAGGGAAACGGATTACAACAAAACAACCGGATCTTGATGACATCGTATTACCTGAGGCTTCCTCACGAAAATGATGAAAATGTAGCTGCGGCCTAGGCGGCGCAGGGGGGCCGTGCACCAGGGGTCCCAACAATAATTATTCTTTAGAATTAATAATGTTCAAGTTTAAGACCGTTCGCCCTTATATGCTCGAGTGTCCAATAACGCGTATTTTCCAAACCCTCGATACCCGCCTTCTTCGTCTTCGATCGAATCCTTTTTGGGGGGTAGACCTTTCTTCCCTGCAGGCCGGGCCCCGGCAAGCGGCGGGGCGGCCGCGGACCGTCGGCCTGGCCAGCGGCAGCGCTGATCGGCGGGGCGGCCGCGGACCGTCGACCCGACCCCAACAGGGACGGACAGGGGGGACGACGACGACGACGACGACGACGACGACGACGTCGAAGACGACGACGACGACGACGACGACGGCGACGACGAGCGAAAGCGAGAGCGAGAGAGAACGACAGCAGGGCCACGAAGGGCACGAAGTAGGCCACGAAGGGCGACAGCGGGGACACGAAGGGAATGCGTACGGGGCCACGAAGAGCGCGAACGAGCGGGGGCCACGAAGTGCAGATAATGCGGGGCCACAGAGAGCAACTATGGGGCCACTGAGGGTAGCAACTGGGCCACGTAGGACAATGAGCGGGCCACAAAAGTCGACAGCGGGGCCACGAAGGGCATGCAGATGGGGCCACAACGGGCGCGACGCCTGGGTGCCTGGGTGTCGGGAGCGCGGCGCTTGGGCAAATTGCAGGAAATTCCAACGCAAGGCTATTCTTCAGTAAGTTGCAAGCAAGTCTCCAGCGAGAGCGCGACTCCAGAGCGCCGGGAGAGTGATTCCTTCATACACTGTTATAAGGAAGTCCCGAGCGAGAGCGCGATTCCTAAATAATTGCGAGGAAGTCTCGGGCGGGAGCGGGGGTCCTGGCTAAATTGTAAGGAAGTCTCAGGCGGGAGCCGTTGTTGTTGTAACCCGGGGGTCAGGGGCCCAGTTTGAGCATTAAGATTTTCCCTGTCAAAAACAGGGTGCGAGCGTCGAGGGGCACACTTTGATTAAGAAAAAACAGTATGCACCGGTGGGGGCATCAACAATAATGATTTTTTCGGAAGTGAGAATTCAACAACAACAACAACAACAACAACAACAACAACAACAACAACAACAATCAGTTTAAGACCGTTCGCCCTTATATGCCCGAGTGTCCTATAACGCGTATTTTCCAAACCCTCGATACCCGTCTTCTTCGTCTTCGATCGAACCCCTTTTTGGGGGGTGTACCTTTCTTCCCTGCAGGCCTGGCCCCGGCAAGCGGCGGGGCGGCCGCGGACCGTCGGCCTGGCCAGCGGCAGCGCTGATCGGCGGGGCGGCCGCGGACCGTCGACCCGACCCCAAGAGGGACGGACAGGGGACCGACCACGACGACGACGACGACGACGAAGACGACGGCGACGACGCGACGACGAGCGAAAGCGAGAGCGAGAGAGAACGACAGCAGGGCCACGAAGGGCACGAAGTAGGCCACGAAGGGCGACAGCGGGGACACGAAGGGAATGCGTATGGGGCCACGAAGAGTGCGAACGAGCGGGGGCCACGAAGTGCAGATAATGCGGGGCCACAGAAGGCAACTATGGGGCCACTGATGGTAGCAACTGGGCCACATAGGACAATGAGGGGGACACAAATGGCGACAGTGGGGCCACGAAGGGCATGCACATGGGGCCACAACGCGCGCGACTCCTGGGTGCCTGGGTGTCGGGAGCGCGGCGCTTGGGCAAATTGCAGGAAATTCCAACGCGATGGCGCTATTTTTCCGCAAATTGCAAGCAAGTCTCCAGCGAGAGCGCGACTCCAGAGCTCCAGACGAGCGACTCTTGAATAAATTGTAAGGAAGTCCCAAGCGAGAGCGCGATTTCTGCATAAAATGCGAGGAAGTCTCGGGCGGGAGCGGGGGTCCTGGCTAAATTGTAAGGAAGTCTCAGGCGGGAGCCGTTGTTGTTGTAACCCGGGGGCCAGGGGGCCAGTTTGAGCAGGAAGACTTTCTTTTTCAAAAACAGAGTACGAGCGTCGAGGGGCACACTTTGATTTCGAAAAAACAGTATGCACCGGTGGGGGGATCAACAATAATTATTCTTCAGAAATGAGAATTCAACAACAACAACAACAACAACAACAACAACAACAACAACAACAACAACAACAACAACAACAAAAACAACAACAACAACAACAACAACAACAACAACAACAACAACAACAACAACAACAACAACAACAATAACAATAACAATAACAATAACAACAACAACAACAACAGCAACAACAACAGCAACATCAACAACAATAATTTCAAGGCTGGTCGCCCTTATCTGCTCGAATGTCCAATAACACGTGTTTCCCAAACCCTCGATACCCTCCTTCTTCGTCTTCGATCGAAACCCTTTCGAGGGATATACTTTTCTTCCCTGCAGGCCGGGCCCAGGCAAGCGGCGGGGCGGCCGCGGACCATCGGCCTGGCCAGCGGCAGCGCTGATCGGCGGGGCGGCCGCGGACCGTCGACCCGACCCCAAGAGGGACGGACAGGGGGCCGACCACGACGACGACGACAACGACGACGACGACGACGAAGACGACGTCGACGACGACGGCGACGACGACGACGACGGCGACGACGACGACGAGCGAAAGCGAGAGCGAGAGAGAACGACAGCAGGGCCACGAAGGACACGAAGTAGGCCACGTAGGACACGAAGGGCGACAGCGGGGACACGAAGGGAATGCGTATGGGGCCACGACGAGCGCGAACGAGCGGGGGCCACGAAGGGCAGATATTGCGGGGCCACAGAAGGCAACTATGGGGCCACTGAAGGTAGCAACTGGGCCACGTAGGACAATGAGCGGGCCACAAACGTCGACAGCGGGGCCACGAAGGGCACGCACATGGGGCCACAACGGGCGCGAACGAGCGGGGGCCACGAAGGGCATACGCATGTTGGGCCGCGGAGGGCAAGGACGGGGCCACGAAGGGCAGCGAGGGGGCCACGAAGGGCACCGAGGGGGCCACGAAGGGCGACAGCGGGGCCACGAAGGGCATGCATATGGGGCCACCACGGGCGCGATCGAGCGGGGGCCACGAAGGGCATACATATATGGGGCCACGAAGGGCTGCAACGGGGCCACGAAGGGCAGCGAGGGGGCCACGAAGGGCAGCGAGGGGGCCACGAAGGGCTGCAACGGGGCCACGAAACAAAACGAGGGGGCCACGAAAGGTTGCAACGGGGCCACGAAGGGCAGCGAGTTGGCCACGAGGGGCTGCAACGGGGCCACGAAACAAAGCGAGGGGGCCACGAAGGGCTGCAACGGGGCCACGAAACAAAGCGAGAGGGCCACGAAGGGCTGCAACGGGGCCACGAAGGGCAGCGAGATCCCGATTCCTAGGTAAGTTGTGAAGGAGTCCTACGCGTGAGCGCGACTCCTGGGTGCCTGGGTGTCGAGAGCGCTGCGCTTGAGTAGATTGCAGGAAATTCCAACGCGATGGCGCTATTTTTCCGTAAATTGCAAGCAAGTCTCCAGCGAGAGCGCGACTCCAGAGCGCCAGGAGAGCGATTCTTTAACAAATGTTAAAGAAGTCCCATGCGAGAGCGCGATTCCTGAATGAAATGCGACGAAGTCTCGGGCGGGAGCGGGGGTCCTGGCTACATTGTGAGGAAGTCTCAGGCGGGAGCCGTTGTTGTTGTAACCCGGGGGCCACGGGCCCAGTTTGAGCATCAAGACTTGTT